ACTGTGGTACGGACGCCCACCCAACGAATTCTATGTTCTTTGCACTTACCCTTTTTAGACAATAAGAATAAAAATACAGAACGAATTTCTCCTATAAAGATAATGGTCCTATAATATTTTACTCTATATATATATATATATAAAGATACAAGTTTAGTAGTATACTCTACAAGTATAAATGAAAATAAATAGACAAAGAGTGGGTACATTTAGTTAAGGGAAAAAAAAAATCAAAGCAACAAGGTTTCTGTTAAAAACATCAAACAGGAGATTGGTTTTCTTTCATTTCATCATCAGTTAAGCTCGAAAAACCCGTGGTGTTAACTTTCTTGTCCTGATTGACATTATCATCATTAGGAACGGATCGCGTAAGTTCCTGAGCCCTTTGAGCTTGATATTCCCAATCGGTGTGGAGCAAAGTGAACAGCATGCTCACAGCACAGGAAGCTTGGGCGGCTAGAAGACCGAGCCAGAGTCCCCTGAAGTCATACCTGGAGAAGAAAGCCAAACCCACAGCAATCGGCATACCCACCAGGTAAAAGCATCCTAAATTGATGTTTGCTCCCAGTTTAGGTCTTGCAGTCCCTCTTAAAACACCGCAGCCTGTTGTTTGGGGACAGTTTCCTAGCTCGCAGAGTCCAATGATCGGCAAGACCATGGAGGTTAATTTAATGATGATTGCATCTGTAGTGAACAGAGTAGCCCAAATGTTCCTCACCATCACGGCAAAAAACAATGCTGAGAGTCCTAAGAAGATGCTTGAAAAGAGTCCGATGATGGCAGCTCTTTTTGCCTTCTGGGGATTGTTGGCGCCCAATTCATTCCCAACCCTGGTTGACACACCAAAGCTTAATGAAGAAGGAAAGATGTATATCAGAGCAGTTGTTTGAATCAAAACTCCCATGGAAGCAACCGTTGCTTTTGGATTCAGGAGTAATCCGCAAAGCAGGATCATGATTTCATACCACCACCATTCCAGGCAAACGGAAATGCAGCTCGGAATTGATAAATTGAGCAGTGATTTCCAGCCTTTTAAGCAATCCCATGAAATTCCATCCCATGTTTTCTTGTAAACACCGGAGAATTTAACATAAATGATCAATAATCCGACAAGGTAGAAGTTAGTCAAAACAGAGCTCAAAGGGACACCTTTGCTTCCCAAATTGGGAACAAAAACAAAATAATAATTAATGGGAATGTGGAAAATAATGGATACAATTGCACAGAGGGTCAGAGGCAGAGTAACGGATTGACTTCTGAGATAAAAGGACGGTGGCATTCTTTCCAAGAATTTTCAGTTAAGGGATTTGGGGACAATTTTCCTTCTTCCTCAAATTCTCCATATATAGTCAGACTATCTCCAAAGGCTGCGGAATCCATTTCTCCCCCAATTCCCCACCTCAATTTCTCCACTTCCAAAGTTTCCAGTCCCCTGAATTTTCCTTTTCCTTTTATCTCTTATTGTCTACTTGGTAGGATGGAAAAAGGTGAAGCTGACATGTTGTTATCCTCTTTGATCCTCGAGAACCCAACACGTGTGAAAATTCCAGGGAAGACCCAACTGTGTCTGGGAATCGAGGAGGCAAAATGTCTGGTTATTATAGTTATTCCCATGGTACTGACCGGTCTTGTGCTCTACTCTCGTTCTATGGTCCCCATGCTCTTCCTAGGACGTCTGGGTGAACTGGCTCTAGCCGGCAGCGCGCTTGCTGTCGGGTTTGCAAACATTACAGGATACTCTGTTCTGTGCGGTCTGGCCATGGGAATGGAACCCATCTGCGGCCAAGCTCTTGGGTCCAAAAGCTACAAGCTTCTCGGACTGACCCATCTACAATTTGTGCAGGGAATGGAACCTGTCTACCACCGAAAGCAATCTCCTCCTTTCTCACGCCTTTCATTTCGAATTTTCAACGCACAGCGAAAGGCGTCCATTGCAGCCACAAATTCTCCTCCTTTTCAGGTATGTATGAACAACGCTACCGATATATATAAGAATCCTGAAATTATTTCAGATCTGATTTTTTTTTTTTTATCTTCGATCCACACTGAGTCAATTGTTATTATTGATCCATTTGTTAGTTTAAGGTGTTTATCGATTCATTTTTCAATATGATCGATTTTAATTTTTCTGATTTTGGATTGTATAGAAATGTTGTTGGATGTGTAGATTTTATTATGTTGAATGATTGATTTTCTGTTTTTGATATTCATTAATTCGTTCCTATTCTCTCAATTCTACTTTGATGTCTACGCATTTTGTGCAGGGTCAGTCCGAGAAGCTTGTAGCTTTTGGACCCAAAAGCTTGGCCGCAGATGGGTTCCATTCCCATGGCCAGACCGCACAGAACAGAGTATCCTGTAATGTTTGCAAACCCGACAGCAAGCGAGCCGTCGGCTAGAGCCAGTTCACCCAGACGTCCTAGGAAGAGCATGGGGACCATAGAACGAGAGTAGAGCAGATGACCGGTCAGTACCATGGGAACAACTATAACAACTAGACATTTTGCCTCCTCGATTGCCAGACACAGTTGGGTTTTCCCTGGAATTTTCACACGTGTTGGGTTTTCGGGGATCAAAGAGGATAACAACATGTCAGGTTTACCTTTTTCCATCCTACCAAGCAGACAATAAGAGATAAAAGGAAAAGGAAAAGGAAAATTCAGGGGACTGGAAACTTTGGAAGTGGAGAAATTGAGGTGGGCAATTGGGGGAAAAATGCATTCAGCAGCCTTTGGAGATAGTCTGACTATAAATGGAGAATTTGAGGAAGAATGAAAATTGTCCCCAAATCCCTTATTTGAAAATTCTTGGAAAGAATGCCACCGTCCTTTTTTGACCGACAAGGATTTGTCACTATTGGGAGTCTATCTAGCAATCAACAATCACAAACTCCAACGTAACAAAGCTTGATCCTTGTTACTCCTCTTGCAACTGTATCATCTCGATTTATAGGCTCGAGTTTTCACTTTTATTATTTTTCTAATTACTTACGGTTTGAGCCTTTGAGTTAACATTGCACGCAACTTGGGAATCTTTTTAAAGAAAAATAATTTGTTGTTTTGTCAACGGTGGACCAAAAAAAAAAAAAATTGGGACGGTTATTGGAAATAGATTATGTCCTTTATTTAATTCTAAACTTTTAGTTTTATATATTAAAATTGTTTAATTATTTTTTTCTCATTGTATTATGAAAAGTGCATTTTTGTAAATTTTTTATTAATTAATTTGTTAAATTTATTTGTATATACACATTTTTAATTCTTAAATTATATATTTATTTTTAATTCTTAAATTTATAAATTTAAGAATTAAAAATATATATGTATAAATAAATTTAATGAATTAAATTGATAGAATAATGAAAATTTTATTTTTTATAGTTTAAAAATAAAAAAAATACAAAAAATATTAAAAATTAAAAATTTAAAAACTAAAAATAACATTTAACCATGACACCACCCATTTGCTTGTGGATAATGATAGAGGGAATGATTTTATGGAATGAAAACAGAGGACGATAGGTGTGACAAAGTCAAATTGATTATTTTGTATCTTGCATTTTAACTTTACCACACTTATTGTCTTTTATTTTCATCCTATAAAATTGTCCCCTTTATCATTATCCATATACAAGGTATTTGGTTGGTACGGTACTAACTTTGTTACAAAAGAAAGAATTAGAACTATACATATGAGGATATAGGACTCTAATCCCTTATATTGTCCTTTAAATATAAACAATTTTAATAAGTTATGTTTATCATCTTTGAACACAAATCTTAATTTGTTCAATATTTATAGGCAAACCATTTTGCAAACTACCACTATATTAGTGGAATTATTTGAGCTAAACGTCCAAATACTTATATTGTTAAAAAAAAAAAAACAAAAAAGTATATATATCACCAACTACATTGGTACAATTAAAGGGAAAAAAAGGCAAATCTTAATTTGTTCGATATTTATAGACAAACCATTTTGCAAACTACCACTATATTAGTGGAATTATTTGAGCTAAACGTCCAAATACTTGT